ATTTATGAAATTAAGACACATGTGCAACATCTGGGTATCTTTGTAGACGTTTCGCCATCCAGTGGCTTTATCAATACAAATTCTAGGACATAACTTGAAGACAGTAGAACTATGTACAGAAGATGAGGTAATCAGTCCCTCAACCTAGGAGTAGGTGCGAAGAGCACCATAGTACTGTCTTCAAGTTATGTCCTAGAATTTGTATTGATAAAGCCACTGGATGGCGAAACGTCTACAAAGATACCCAGATGTTGCACATGTGTCTTAATTTCATAAATATACCTAGCTGGATGAATCTTATTATGGCTAGCTGGTCCAGTGGCTAACGTGACGGTCTGGAGTTTTGAGACTCTCTGATCGCGGGTTCTAACCCCGCCCATGGTATGGTTTGTTTGCAATCGTGTCATTGCGATTTCGTGAGTTATACCCAAGTGTTGTACATGTGTCTAATTTATCAATTTGTCGGTTGTCAAAACCATTTATCTACACAGTACATTGAGTTTGGTTTAATCCCGTGTTTTAAGAGTTTAAAGAATTCTTGACTGGTGGTGACAAGGTGACACGGAGCCTTGATATAAGAACGTAAGAAAGATGTAACGCTGCAGCAGGCCTACTGGTCCATGCGAAGCAGGTCCATGTCACCCCCGGCTTAGGCCAATAACCCACCTAGTCAGGTCACATCCGCTTCAGGAAGCGGCACGGCATCAGACCCACTAGCCAAGCCAGTCAGGTCCAACTCACACCCATCCACACCCACTCACGTATTTATCTAATCTATTTTTAAAACCCCTATGGGTAGTCGATAGGCCTTAACCCAAGTCAACGTTTTTAGTGTTCGCGAGAAAACGCACCCTGTTAGTCTCCACATTACGCAGGCCATTTTTGTATCTTCCCATGTTTCATCTCTCCATGTTTCATCTTCCCATGTTTCATCGCCCCATGTTTCATCTCTCCATGTTTCATCTTCCCATGTTTCATCTTCCCATGTTTCATCGCCCCATGTTTCATCTCTCCATGTTTCATCTTCCCATGTTTCATCGCCCCATGTTTCATCTCCCCATGTTTCATCTCCCCATGTTTCATCTCCCCATGTTTCATCTTCCCATGTTTCATCTTCCCATGTTTCATCTCCCCATGTTTCATCTCCCCATGTTTCATCTTCCCATGTTTCATCTTCCCATGTTTCATCGCCCCATGTTTCATCTCCCCATGTTTCATCTTCCCATGTTTCATCTCCCCATGTTTCATCTCCCCATGTTTCATCTTCCCATGTTTCATCTCCCCATGTTTCAGCTTCCCATGTTTCATCTTCCCATGTTTCATCTTCCCATGTTTCATCTCCCCATGTTTCATCTCCCCATGTTTTATCTCCCCATGTTTCATCTCCCCATGTTTCATCTTCCCATGTTTCATTTCCCCATGTTTCATCTCCCCATGTTTCATCTCCCCATGTTTCATCTTCCCATGTTTCATCTCCCCATGTTTCATCTTCCCATGTTTCATCTCCCCATGTTTCATCTTCCCATGTTTCATCTCTCCATGTTTTATCTCCCCATTTTTTCATCTCCCATGTTTCATCTTCCCATGTTTCATCTCCCCATGTTTCATCTTCCCATGTTTCATCTCCCCATGTTTCATCTTCCCATGTTTCATCTCTCCATGTTTTATCTCCCCATGTTTCATCTTCCCATATTTCATCTCCCCATTTTTCATCTCCCCATGTTTCACCTCGCCATGTTTCACCTCGCCATGTTTCACCTCGCCATGTTTCACCTCCCCATGTTTCACCTCCCCATGTTTCACCTCCCCATGTTTCCTGGACTACGACAATCTCAAACACCAAATACCACAATAACTTCTGTAAATTACCTAAATGTGTAAATACAATCATAAAGCAGAAACAAAATTAATATATTTATTAGAAATTATTGATTTTGGAGTATTACGCGCCGAAGAAAATAAAATAAATTTCTTAAACCTCAACATAACATAAAAAGATCATTTTTATTTATATTTTGCAGTTTCCTTTCTTTTCATTGATTTTTGTTAATAATCTTGTAAATGTTTTTGTTTAAGTAACAGGAGGTATGACACATTTCTTAGATATGTATAATGTTCCTCTAAGATTCATTGGCACTGAAAGTTTGGTGTCGATCTGAAGAGGCATTATCAAGTTATTGTACATAAGGTAATTTCCCAATATGTTCAATAAAAAAGGGTATATTGGCACGTAGACACCACAAAAGCAAGGTCAGTCTTCCTCTGACTTACGTTAAGGTTAAAAGTTTGAACCCGATCGAAAGAAGTATTCTTCACCTGTCGCATGGAAACCAGTATCCAATTTGCTTCACAAAATTGGCAAATTAGGGAAGAAGGGAAGTAAAAGGAGACAAACCTAGGGTAGGGGAGGGGAAAATAAAGGGGAAAGGAGAAAATACTAAAGGAGGGGATAAAGAGAAAAAGAAGAAAGCTGAGGGAAAGGAAGAAAGCTGAAGGAAAGGAAGAAAGCTGAGGGAAAGGAAGAAAGCTGAAGGAAAGGAAGAAAGCTGAGGGAAAGGAAGAAAACTGATGGAAAGGAAGAAAGCTGAAGGAAAGGAAGAAGGCTGAGGGAAAGG